CCTTCAAATAGTTCCGTAATTCAGTAGACAAATACTCGCCGCCATTATCCGTTCGCAAAGTTCCTATTGCCTTGCCGACATGGTTGGTAACGGAAGTTTCAAATCCTTCTAACTTCTCTAACACTTCTGACTTGTGTTTCATGAAGTGTACAGCGCAGCACCTAGAGTAATCATCAATAAACGTAACAAAATACTTTGCTCCTTCAATCGATGGCGTGTGCATAGGACCGCAGACATCACTGTGCACCAGCTGTAGTCTTTGCGTCGAGCGAATCTCTCCCACTGCGGGAAACGGTTTTCTACACATCTTTCATGCCAAACATCCTTCGCAGAAAGACAGTTCAGTTATTTTCTTGATGTTAATCCCTTGTACGGATTCACTCTCCACGCATTTCTTGAGGCGTAGCTCGTGTACGTGTCCAAGACGTGGATGCCATAAGTCGCTACCCTGAGATGACTCAACTGAGACGTACGCAGTGTCCGTAGTGATTGCAACTTGACAGTCTAGTTGATAGAGTTTATCAATCAGTGATCCCATTCCACGAAGCTTTCCATTACCATCTCAAATACAACATTTTTGGGGACGAAAATCTACAGCGTTGCCCTCAGAAACTGCAGCTCTTACAGAAAAAAGGTTGCAAGGGATTTTAGGCACGTACAGGACATCATATAAGACTGCTTTGTTGGATTCGGTTGCTTGAAACAGCATATTCATTCGTACACTCCCAGATCACAACGCTTTCACAACACGGCCATCACCCAGCGCGACATTTTCAGGCTCGGAAAATTCCTGAAAATTCACTAAAACATGCTTTTCTGTAGTAATATGACTTGATGCGCCCGAGTCGATAATCCATGGACAACAATTTTTGTTTGTAGCCTCCACGCTCTCAACAGACGCCATAAACGCAGTAGCATAAACGTCTTCACCTTCGAAGTCAGAATTATTTGGTCGGCGCTCGTCGCTGTTGACTATTTTTGCTTTGTGCCATTTAAATTTCTTGGGACAATAACGGCGAATATGACCCACATCACCGCATTCGAAACATGTCAACTGCTTACGGGGCGGATCGCTTGGACAATTACGGCGAATATGACCCGCAGCACCACATCCAAAACATGTTGGCCGATCGCGTGGCGTATCTCTCCTGAAGGCCCCCGTTAGCGCTGATTCAGCTTCATTCAAGTGACCGGATAGCTCAGATTGCTTCATTTCTTCGTGAATAAGTGCTTGTTGGACATAATCCAGGCTAACTCCATCTACTCTTGCTTCGATAGCGGTGACAAGGGTCGCGAAACTTCTCGGCAAACTTCCTAACAAAGTCACAACTTGATCCTCTTCGGAAATGGGCGCTCCAATTGCCGCAAGTTTATCAGTGATATCTTTCATGAGCTTCAAATGTTGTTCCACCGGTGTACCTTCTTTCATCTCGGAACGAAAATATTTCTTCTTTAAAAATAGTTTGTTCGCGAGTGTCTCTCGTTCAAAATGTTTCCTTAACGCATCCCAAGCTTGCTTTGGTTCTTCGCTTGAGGTGATCAAGTAAAGCTGAGCGCTATCAATCGCCAACACAATTGTCGAGAACGCCTTTTGTAGCCTCGATTGGTAAAGTGTTTGTGCCGTTGGAGTCGCATCGTGTGCGAGGACTTCTGATCCTTCTACCAAGCCCCATAATCCTTTCGCCAACAGTAAATGTTTCATTTGAAATTTCCAAGTGTTCCAATTGCTCCCGTTAAGTTTGTCGATCGAGAACTTTTCCTCCATGTTTCATTTACGTACTCCTGGGCCCATAACCTAAAGATTTTTGCACGTTTAAAACAAACTTCTGCTTCTTTTATTCCGATCACGTCCAAATAAACGGTTACAACAACAGAGAGAGAAAACAGAATACACTATTATATATATGCTAATTCCTAAAAAACAAATTTTGAATAACAAAAAGAAAAGACACACCTGGACCAATCATAGATCAAATTAACTATTCCTGTGAAATATTTCAAATTTAAAATAACAACGGCAAACATAATATGCATAATAACAACAAGGAAAACATACACTTTACATTTCGCGGAATACTATCGAACATAGTGAATGAAGTTAGAGGTAAGTGGTAAGAAAGAAAACATCGTCGCGATTTTAACGATAACTGAAGGCAAAACGTGAAAGCGAATAAACCTTAAGAATTTAACTTACCAACTCAATCAGCAGAACGAAAACAACAAATATCCATATCATCCCGTTAGCAGATGAAATCCAGCAGCTGAAGTAAATTAGGTATCGGAAACTTTGATAAATTATCAATTAATGATTTATTATTGTGTACATGCACGTACACAGTATCCTCTATGCCCGGTTTGCTTGCAAGTAAAAATCACAAGAGAAATAAAATAAAACAAACAAACGAAAAGGCAGAAAACGACGATTCGTGACAGACTCATGGATCAGGAGAAAAAAGTCCTCACTGCTTACAATTTTTCACTGA